AGTCTAGATGGGGATCTTTCGGAAAATAAAGCCTTTTCCGAAAGATCCCTTATTCCTCAAAGCTTTATTTTCTGAAAGATCCCCATCTAGACTGGCGCTTTTTTCCGGCAAAGCCCCGAGCCGGAAAAAAGCGGCAGCCATTAAATCCTCATTTCATTTGCAATTGCGATGTGTCTAATTTGCATCCCTTTTACGGAAAAGGGATGCAGTCTAGACACAGCCCATGTGTCTGACTCAGTCTGCCTAAGAAGCAAACTGGTTCTTGACAGTCTCAGAGGGGTAGCAATGTTAGTCTGTAACTTTAAAAATGGTCCTGCAGCACCTTAGAGACTAACAACACGTGTAGACAGGGGTAGCAATGTTAGTCGGTAACTTTAAAAAAAAACAATCAATGGTCCTGCAGCACCTTAGAGACTAACAACACGTGTAGACAGTATCATGAGCTTTCACGGACACAACCCACTTCTTCAGATGACCAATAATGACCAAGAGGCACAGAGGGTCAAATATAAAGCAGAAAAAGAGGGGAGAAGGGTAGGAGAAGAAACCCTTGTCAGCTAAAGTACCCATGCTAAATGAGGCTAGTAGGGTGGGTTGTAAGTGCCCGATGTTTAGCTTTTGATGTCATTTGGGTGTTGAATAGAACAGCCCATCCGAAAAATGTCTTTGTTCAATCCCTGGCTAAATGTGTCGAATTTGCATATGAAGGCCAATTCTGCAGTTTCTCTCTCTAGTTGGTTCCTGAAATTGCTTTGTAAAAGGATAGCCACTTTTAAATCTTTTTTAACTTGCCCAGACACTCATTAATGGATTTAAAAGTGGCTATCCTCGTTATTACAAAGCAATTTCACGCGCCAACTAGGGAGAGAAACTGCGGGACTGGCCTTCATATGCAAATTTGACACATTTAGCCAGGGATTGAACAAAGACATTTCTTGGATAGGCCGTTAGCTTTTGATGTCATTTGGGTGTTTAATATAAGTATCAGACAGTTACAGCCCACTCTATTAGCCTCATTTAGCATGGACACCTTAATTGACAGGTGTTTTTCTCCTTCCCCTCTTCTCTCTTTTTCTGCTTTATAGTTGACCCTCTGTGCTTTCTGCTCATTATTTGTCATCTGAAGAAGTGGGTTGTGCCCATGAAAGCTATCTATATTTTTTGTTAGTCTCTAAGGTGCTGCAGGACCATTTGTTGTTTTTTATGCTTCTTGATAATGTGTGTTTTTATGTTCTAATATTGTGTTTCTCCTCATATTTTTTAACTATATTCTTATGAGTTTTCAGTCTAGTGAATAGCCTTTTCAAAGGAGAAATAAGAATTCTTTGTATTTTATTGTGTTCCAATTTTAAATGGTGATTTCCCTCTATGAAAAACAGCAAATATCCTAAGATTAGTGAATTCTAAGATGCCAGCAAACTACACTGTATACCTCTTTTTACTAATTCAAGAAAGTAAGGGCCCTAAATGGTGTTTTTGTCTTGGTCCTTTTATTCTTCCTGACTGATTAATAATGGAATCAAAATAGTAATAATAACTGTGTCTCCAGATAACTTTATTCTTTATTGCCTCAAGTGTATATCTAAACTCAAATACATTAAAGGACTACATTTCTCATCTGATGCATCAAGGTTTTAGGCATGCAACGCCTTTTATTGTTGAAGTTACTCATGTAATTCCCTAAGTGCTACACTAAAAAAATATCTCCAGTAACTCCACTCTATAAATTGAAATATTTCTTTTGTGCTACACTAAAAAAATATCTCCAGTAACTCCACTCTATAAAGCCAATTGAAATATTTCTTTTCTGCTTATAGGGCTGTGATTCTCAGATGAGCATGTCAGAAATGTCCTGCAGTGAAAGTACCTCTTCTTGTCAGTCCCTCGTACATGGCTCAACTCCAGAAATCCTCATCGGCCTACTTTACAATGCCACAACTGGAAGACTATCAGCAGAAGTGATAAAAGGCAGCCACTTCAAAAACTTGGCAGCAAACAGACCACCCAGTGAGTGATAATCTTTTTTTTTTAATTATCCTAATACTTTTGTATTTGTGGGGCTCTCAGTGGTGGGAACTTCAATCCTATCATTTAGTCTTATCCAGTCAAAATGAAATACAGCAATCATCAACTAATCTGTTTCATGTTTTATATTTCTACTCAGTTGGGAAATAGCAAAAATCTAAAATTCAAAATATTAGTTATAAGTTGACAAGAGTGTTTTAATTTTTCAAGATGACTATAATAAAGGTAATTTATTAATGATTAATTGCTAACCTCATATCACAGGCCACGAATAAAAAAATATAGCTTTTAAAGAAAAAATATGTTCCAACCAATATTAGTGTAAAATTGATGAAGCTATTGCTGTTACTCGGGAATCAACATTACAGTCTTTAATTGTGTATGGGCTTGTGTATGTATGTGATCCATTTGGAAATTATATTTCACTTCGGAAATCTCAAAAAAGACAATCTAAGACAAATTCTAGCCTTTTCCATGTGACAGGGTGACCATACATCCTATTTGGTCAGGAACAGTCCCTTTTTTAACCTTTGTCCCAGCTGTTCCAACCTTTTTAGCAAAACTGGGCATTTGTCCCATTTGCTCTTGCCAACTGATCAACTTTATCAAAAAAGATGGGTGCAGTACTGAGAAACATGGGAGGGGGGAACTGATGATGCCAGCCATGTGCAGAAGTGAGGCTTAGTGGGGGGAGGGAGAAAGAGTTTCATTGGGAGGCAAGCAGGGTACCAGTGTCCAGTGACAGTCTGGGGTCAGTACCTTGCGGGAGGGGGCCTTGGGCTAGCCCTATGCTGTGTCCCATTTTCCCTTTGACAAATATGGTTACCCTTCTATGTGATGTAGTACAGAGTACCACTTAACTTGGAAAATTCATCATTGGCTATAGCTGGGAAAACATTTTCATTCTAACTTAGTCTCTAAAAGTACCCCAAATAAAACTTGGTTTAAGATGAACCTGTATCTGAAAATATCTCCAAACTTTCTAAATTTGTATTTTGAATGTGAGCATAATTTGCTGAAATAAGACACATGGAATAAGTCATGTGATTTTTTTCATTTAGGTTATGTCCACACTACAAAGAAAAGTCGGAAAAAAGATATGCAAATTGCAAAACGCAATTTGTGTATCTTTTTCTGCTTTTTTCCAAAAGAGGCTTCCCTTCCGGTGCCAAATTTCAGAAAAACCTCCTCTTTTGGCACATCCCTTATTCTTTATAAAATGAGGTTTACAGGCTTGGTGAAAGAATGTGTCCACTTTCCCAAAAAAAAAATCGGAAAAGCAGACATGTTCCTTGAACGTGACAGTGCTTTTCCAGGATACCTCTGGAATCCCAGAAAAGCACTGCAGTCTAGACATAGCCTCATTTACAGTTGCCATTTTGGTTGGATGTATTCCTGGAGTTTTTTTCACGACATAATCTTTAATTAGAGATTCATCTTAAATTCTGGAGATCCCCAGGACAATCCTGGAACTATACCTCAATCCGTGACTGGTTGCTCTTTCTCATGTGTGGAGAATAAGCCCAGCTAATAAGAATTCCTTTGATTTGGTTCCTGTGATATTCCATTCTAATTCTCTGCTCCAGCTTGGCAAGGTTCAATGGGTGTTTGTCTGACTCACGCAGGTTGCTGCCAAATATGCCTGGATGCTCTCACCACATTATTCCCCAATCTGTAATTTTCCTACGGTTTTGAAGGCTTATCTGGCTGGTTGCCAATATTAAAAAAGCTGTTTTCATATCCTGCCCATCTCTAGGGCTGTTCTTGTCTTGAGCAGCTGAGTCAAGAGTAGACACCGAGACTTGAGACTCTCTCCTCTCCCTTCTCTTGTCCTTATTTATCCCAATTACCTTTGCCTCAGCCACCTCCTCCTCCTCTGAACAGCTTTGTATAGCGATGGAGCTGAGCTCAAAAAAGTGTGTAGAATCCTCTCCAGCGTCCTTGTGTGGCCAAACAGCAGCTCCAAAGACATCTCTTTGGAGTCAAAACCAAATAGAGGGTGGGGATCAGAGAGACTGGAAAGGCTGGAGAGGGGAGCAAGAGATGAGGAAATGTGAAGGAGCCAAAGCCCCGGAGGAGGGAAAAGCCAGAAGAAACATGGAGAGATGGGGGCCTCCAGTGAGTGCGGAGTGGGACAAGGGAAGTTAGAATAAGGGGGTGGAAGTGGAGATGTACGAATCCAGGAAGGACAGAGATGACCCTGTATTCCTTGAGGGATGAAAGAATAGATGACTGCCCTTGAAGTTGCTGGAGGGGGAATAAGCTGCAGTTTCCTATTAGATATAAGTGTATACATTTTATGCAAATTAGATCTTGAGCTTTTTTAATGCGTCATTCATGGCAAGTGTAGCAGTGCCCTAATATTTAACTTTCATTTATTTCCCAGTTATTAGGAATTACTGTATTAGTATATGGTTTGATTAACATGAGGGCCTAATTCCATGTGTGCAAATGTGAGACCAGAGTTCTATTGTTTCCTTACATTCTAATTTCTAGTTCTGATCTGAGTTCCTGAACACTCCTGGTTCCATAGAATCCAAGTTTCACCCATGGATTTCAATGAGATTTGACTGTGAAAAATAAGGGCTTGTTCAGACACTGCTCTGAACGGCTGTGAACCCACATACATTTGGCGAAGTCTTTTCTAGCCAAACCTGACAGAGGGTCCACATATCTGTTACTGATGGAAGAGTGGTACTGAACTTATCAAGCTACAGACTGACCTATACTAACAAGAAGAGTTTGGAATTTGGCCTGGTTTAGGTTCTATAGTATAATTATCTAGGATGACCAGATGTCCTGTTTTTAAAGAGACAATCCCATATTTACTCCCTTCTGCAGGTGTGATTTGCAAAATAAGCAAATGGTCCCTATTTTCTGTCTTCGTCAGTACTGGCAGGTCTGCTGCTGGCCAGATCCCTGCTTGCCAGCCACCCACCCACCAGTGGTGAGTGAGGGGCGGGGTCCAGGGCCCAGTGATGGCAGTGGCAGTGCAAGGCTGGTAGTGGGGCAAGGCTGCAGCATGAGTGGCCAACTGCTCCCACTGCTGGTCCACCAGTGCAGCCACAACTGTTTGCTGGCTCGGACCCTGTCTCATTTCCAGCTGTCACTAGCTGCTCACTACTTGATGTGATGGCTGGTGAGTATGGGCAGGTGCCAGACGGCTCTGGGTAGCTTCTGCTGCTCACCCATTGGCCCTTACCATGTTCCCCCTTTTTCTATCCCATCCCTACTGATGCATCCTCATCTATCAAAGCCCCAGTACTCCTCCATATGCTCCCCAATGGGGCATATCCTGCTCCCCGCACTGTGCAGGGAACCAGCCCCAGGTCGCAGTGCTCAGCTCACCTACAGCCTGGCGGCCAGACTCATTCCCTCTCCCATTGCCTCTGGCTGGGCTGATGCCCTGGGAAAACTCAAGAGCCTCCCAGAGGAACAAAGCCTGTCATGTGCCAAACCCATGCCTGGCACTGGAACAAGGAAGCCCCTCCACCCCCACTAAGCTTCGGAATGGAATGGGGAGGGGAGCGATTTCCAGTCTGTTCATGCCCTGACCTGGCAGGCTTCCCAGCTGCCCTCAGGACAGGCATTTAGCACCCTCATTACTCCCTCCCTGGATGCTGCCCACGGGAAGCATGCGGCTCCTCTGAGGCCTAGGCAACCACCTCCCCTGCTCAGCCATTGCTTTGGCTGAGTTTGCTCAAGTCCCAGCAGTTACGTTGCCTGGGCCCTGGTGGCACAGTGCAGTTTAGGGCTTAACTTGGTCCTGTCCATGTTGTAGGCAGGGGACAGGAGGTGGCCGTGTTCTATTAGTAGCCAGCAGCAGCCTGGAGGTGTCAGCTGCCCTGAAATGCTGGGCAGCCAGGGAGGGACAAGCTGCCTTCAGCCACAGGGGAGTGTGTACAAAGGGGGAAGAGATGAGCTCTTGTCAGCCGATGGTCAGGGAGTGAGTGGTATGTGTATGTGTTATACACCCGAGACTTCAACTGCTGGGACCAGGATCCCTTCGTAGCGGGCAACCTGGAGAAGGTTGACGGGCGCCCCAAGAAGTTTACAGGGAGAGCTTATTACACCTCAGATTTTTACTGCTAGGATACACTATCTCTTCGCAGCGGGCAGCCTGGGGAGGCTGAGAGATGCCCCAACATGATCCAACGCTCAAGCTTTCCCTATATCTGTCCCTTATGACCGGCTGGAGTTCCTTTTTAAAATTGTGCTTGTTCTAAAATTTGTGGTTCTGTTACTGCAACCGAAGGAGTCAGGTCACAGCTTAAACAGTTACTATTTTATTGTTACAGGGTAAACTTAGCTGTTAAATGCTACTACTGTGTTACAGATAACACAGCCGCTACAAAGGACAGGACAGAAATTACACTAATAAGTCACTTACAGGTCCCATGAAACCCTTTTGGTTTTCTGAGCTCTTATTAAATGCATGCAAAATAGACACCTAGCAGGTATATATTCTCACCCCTGTGTTCCAGGCTTGGCGTGGCCAGCATCTTTCTCTCAATCCCTCGGGAAGAAGTAGGGCGAGGTTGGGCGTCCCACAGACCTCGGGAGTCAATCAATACCTGCCAGCAGGTATAGATGATTGGAGCTCAAATGGGGTGGGCTACTAAACGTAGGCTTCTTCCTGGTCTCGTAGGCTTGGGTCACGTAGGCTTCTTCCTGGTCTCAAGTGGCCAATTAGGAAAAATGGCTTTGAACACCAAGTTTCCCATAAAGAGTGCAAAGCATAATTCACACCTGGGAAAATGCAGACAATGGGCACCTCTGGTATGTGATGGGCGAAGATTCCTCTCCTGGGACAGTGCAGGCTTGTCAATTACTGGTACTAGCCATCAGGGCGGCGGGAGGCCCTGGGTCATCAGCTAGCCCATTTACTGTCTGGTTTCTGTTTATGGTAGAGTCGGGGACAGGCAGCACACCTGTGTTCCCAGGGCATCAAAGGCTGACTGCCTTTCTCTTGCTCTCTGAGGGAGGGGGGGAAACAAGATGGGGTTCATGTCTGGCTACAGCTCTGCAAAGACAAAGGCCAAGTTATCCCTTCCTCCTCCCCCACTTGTGGCTAGAAGCAGCTGTGGAGGGGTCCTGTGAGCCTCCCCATGTGCTGCCATGGGAAGATATGGTGCCAGGACCCAGGAGAGGGAGCCCATCCTAGGGACCCACGCAGGCATGGGAGAGTGGAGAATGCTGGGCAGGGAGGAGAGGGTCAGTTGTTTCCCCCTCTGAGTAAGAGGTGAGTGGGAGTGTGTGTGTGCTCACCCCTTCCTATGTGAACCCTAAAGCTGTCTAGATAAGAAGGTAAATAGAGTCCAACTACACAGTATTTCTTTTTAACAGGCTATAACACGTCAGCTTAGTGTTCATTTAAAAGTTAGTACTGCCTAGTTCTGATTCATTGCTATTGAACACACTTCAATACAAGTAATTTGACCAGATGTCCCATATTCAACATAAAGAAATATGGTCACCCTATAATTATCTCTATGGAGTGATGAAGATGAATGTACTAATCCTGATGAATGTTTATGTATTTTTAAAATTCCATTTTAAAGGTGATAAAGTAATGCATAAACTTTCATGAGATAATTAATTTTAATTGATGAGTTGTTTACATTTTAAAGAAAAGATGGATCCACATTTGAATCCTAGGTCTGAACATCTGTGAATTTTGCAGAAGTTTAGATCAGTTTCACTTTGTGATTCAACTTCATCTTGCTTCATCAAACAGAAGCCAGGTAACATTGAAAATAATGACTGATGAAGAGAATTATACATTTATAGGAATACCTTCCCAGGTCAATCATCTTTCATTCTGTTATTTGTAATATACTAAGTATAATTTCTGTCTATAGTCTTACTTAATATGCTGGAGTTTGCATGAAAAAGCATAAGGTTTGGTAAAGACAATATGGTGATATTAATCCTGTCTTTTATAACCTGATCAGATGTGTGATTCTTTCTGTGTTCAGTGTTCTTTAAATCCAATACCTATTAATACAAATCTCCTGCTATTTAAACAGTGTAATTTAGTAAAGATTACACAATGAATGTACAAAATTCTCATTTCATTGAATTTTACCCAACAATCCTTGTGTTCAATCCTCTATCTGAACTAAACTGCTAAGGTTTTGTGTTCTTCTGCTCCTATGAACAGTGTTTCCTCTTAAACTTTAACCTTTGACCCTCTCTCACCAAACTATTGACATCTGGTCATTATTTCTTTTACTGCTTTCCACCCCCTGTTGTCAGACGGACTGTTCTGTTGTCTAAAACACTTGATAGGTGGACAGGTTTATATAATCCGAGGTGAGTTCCCTGTACAGACTAATTGGATGTTGTCTTTTTCATGCAAAAAAAACTTTGCCAGTAGTAAAGCTGTCCACAACTGTCCACCATGTTGGTTTCCAAAACGTATTTTTATTATCTGTGGTATTCTTAAAAGCGGTAGTAGCACTTATCTCTGTTTATGGATGATGGGTATTTCAGAGTATCTAAAAAGTAAAAACATACAATGAATGAGTTTCTTTTTACACAATCTCTTGTCTTTTTAATAATCTTCCTGTCATGTCTATGGGAATGTCTAGACTACAGGCTTTTGTCAACAGAGGCTTTGTAGACAAAGAGCATCTATACTACAGCCAGTTCTGTCAACAAAGCAAGCCGCTTTTTCGACAGAGTCTAGCCGCTCGCTTTTGAAAAAGCACAGTGTGGATGCAATAGCGCCTTTTTTCGACATAACTCATAGAATGAGGTTTACCACCATCAACAAAACTGCCATGTTCTGTCGACTTACTGTTGACAGAACTCGGCGGTAGTGTAGACGCAGGTATAGTTTTGTCGGCAAAAGTCCACTTTTGTCGACAAAACCCTGTAGTCTAGACACACTCACAGATAGGAATTAAAAAGGGAGATTTTTGAGACAGTTGTTTATTCCCCTAATAGGAGACAAACAAGAAAAAATAGTTTTTCAAAATAAATGGCTTATCACTCCAATATTAAAAACCATGGTGTGTTAAATGTATTTTACAGTATATATTTTAAATATTACTTCCGCTTTTTAAAGTATTTCCTGAAGCAGTAGGCAAGCCACATCTTAAAGAACCATGTTAAATTGTGCAAAGAGTCTTTATTTTCTTCTCCAAACACATTAAATGTAATTTTGTATGAAACTAGGAACTATAAAAGAGACTTAATCTGTTTTGTAAATATCCACCATTTAATACATATGGCTACATTTTGGTCTTTAAATGTAAATAAAACCAAAAAGCCTTAAATAAGAAACCACATCCATGCAGAGATTTTTTTAAGCATTTCATCCTTAGCTGTTTGATGTCATTGCTGCACACCAATGTTCATTTTTCCTCTTCATTAGTTGTCTTCATTCCACTTTGTGTGTTCATATTTTCTGAAAACTCAATGGTGTTGTGGCTAGTTGAAGCTTGCTAAGCGTTAATGATATACAAGTCTGCTTTGTGTACAGATGGTGGGGGTGGAGGGGAAGAGAAGAATTACAAGGGATACTTTTAAGTAATATTATTCACATAGTGAAAATACCAACTATGTCATTAATGCAATAAAAATATTTTTGCTTACTTATTTTCTTCGTCACATTATAACTATGTATGTTCCAAAAGAACTATGTTCAGTCAACATGGTATACTCTGTATCCTTATGTAGAATGTTATTACATGTCTCATTAGCAAAAAGTTCTAGTGTAACACAAACTAACATTCCAAAATATTATTTATTTTATAGATACATATGTTAAGTTAACACTGCTGAATTCCATGGGTCAGGAGATGTCCAAGTGCAAGACATCCATCCGCCGAGGGCAGCCAAATCCAGTATACAAAGAAACCTTCATTTTTCAAGTGGCACTATTTCAGCTTTCAGATGTGACACTCATATTGTCTGTGTATAACAAACGCAGCATGAAACGAAAAGAGATGATAGGCTGGATTTCTCTAGGTCTCAACAGCTCAGGAGATGAGGAACTAAATCACTGGACTGAAATGAAGGAATCAAAAGGACAACAAATATGTAGATGGCACTCATTATTAGAGTCTTAATAGGTAATAACAAAGATCAATTGTGGTTCCAGGGAGTTTCATATTTAACAAGACTGACAAATTTAACATTCCACCTTAAAGAATGCACAGATCATTTTACACATCTTCAATTAATTTATCAAACACCTCACTGGTGTCAGATTACCCTTACTGTACACAGATGAGATAGCAATTGTTCCATTTCTTGATGTTTTCAGTACTGCTTTGGTTTGGGATTATTTTCTGTTTAGCAATTCACATATATGTTATGTAAAAATCCCCAAATTATTATAAAATCCTCCCGTGTTGTTATTTTTTTGTGATCTTCTATTTTAATGTATCACCTGCATATACCCCAATTTAGAGACACAGGCCTTTAATACAAGAAACAGAATACTAAACCGTGAAACAAGAAAACCAAACGACAACAACAAAATCACAACCACTTGGAAAGAAAGCTTAATTTTGAATATCTTGATATTTTAGATTGATTTTATTTTTAGGAGCTTAGTAGCATTAATTTTTCATTTCTGATGTGAAATTAGCCTGAAAAACTCTAGGACTCAGTGGAATCAGGTGAACTTTGACATAAAATAAATATTTCTTCAATCGGTGACAGGACAAGCTCCACATTATGGCATTAAATGGCTTCTGCCTAACCCAAAGAGACCAGATTACTCTTCTGGTCCTTTGCAAGTCTGTTTAGACAGGTTGTACTATAAAACTACGTAACTTTCTGTTGAAAGCACTTCCTGTATTCATCGTATTCCAATATAGGAAGCTCATAAAGCACGAGTTTACTAAACATTTCTTTTAATTAAACCAATTGATATGCATTTCTTTAAAATGACAATATTGTGAAAATTATGTTGAAAGACCACAAAAGAAACAATAGTAGTTAAACTGCTGAGGACAAACAAGAAATTCTATGACATTCGGGAAAAGAAAGATATTTTTGTTTCCATTGCTATTCATATTAATTGTAGAGTTTCAAAAGAGGAAAATAGGGACTCAGACCATAAGTTTCTAGTCTTATTGCTGGAGGAGGAATACAGGGAATCTAGCAGAGAGTTATTTCTTCTCTGTTTTCTGGGTGGCAGAGAGAGAACGGGCTAGCCCATGAGTTGTCAGGGCTTTCATGAAAACATTGAACTCCCAAAAGTGTGGGTCCATTTACTTTGCATGTATTTAAGGCGGGCACTGTTGGCTTCATAAACAACATCACAGTAAAAAAAAGTTGCAGCATAATAGAAAAATTCTGCCTTTGGCTATATACCCCCAACTTCCACTGGCATTAGGGAGATATAAATGTGTGTTTAGGTGAGGTTTAGGCCAAAGTATCAGAAGTACAGTAGAGTCTCACTGATTCACACTCATATTACTGAATATTGCGGATGATTGAGTAAGTAATGACACCATTTTTTAAAAAATCGGGATTCTCAAAATGTGTTTTTATGTATTACAATAATATTTTATTTCATTGCTACTGTAGAGCATGTGAGCAAACATACCATAGTTAATTTCTTAAAATAATGAAGTCTTACTAATTTGAGACCCCTAGTACAGCATTCACTGAGAAGGAGTGAACAACCACTGTGTTATTTTTGGTGAGAGTTACTGATGTTTCAATGAATTTAGATTAAGAAAGAAACTCTTCTTACCTCTGAACAGTTCAAACTTTGGGATACAAAAACAGTCAGGTACTATGTGATTGCATAATGTATAATGTTAAAGATACAGCATGTGCTTCTCAGACACAATACTTAATGATTTCATAATCTCTTTCCGAAGAAATCTGCAGTTACAGTTTTCAATTACAGTAGACTTCCGATAATCCAGAACCTATGGAACCTAGGTGGTGCTGGATTATCAAATATGCCGGACTATCAGGAGGTACTATAAGCTGGTTTTATATATACTGTATACATTATATACTATATATAAAGTGTTCCTAGCCCTTTTTATTGTACATACTGTATACAGTATACTGTAATGTTTTAGTTTTTTTAAGCCTTTTTTACCCTTTTGGCTCAGTTCAGTTGCTGTTGCTGTTGCTGCTGCTGCTATCTTGTGACTCATTTTTTGCCGAGTTCACTCACTAGGCTCTTGCCATTTTGATACCGGACTATCAGGAGTGCCGGACTATTGGAGTTTTACTGTAATATTATTTCGTGCCTTTCATATCACACCAGTTGAAGCTGCTAATACAAACAGATGGTTGTATTTGTAGAACTGGGCCTCCAATTTTTATTGACTTAAGGATTTCTCAGAACATTTTCACAGGAATTGTCTTCCCTGTCTTGCATGTTTGTTTGTTTGTTTTGGGGGGGAGCGAGGCTGGATTGTTTTGTGTGCATGGCACAATAATCTCCATTTTGGTAATTCAGACATCCAAGAACTTTGATTAGCCAGAAACATTGTAAGTAGTAGTACAGTATAACATGTTCCCTTCACTTCTGTTTGCTGCTCGATTTGTGAGGTGCAATTTCAAACTCATAAATGTTTAAATTAAAATATACATTAATTTTATGTACTTAAGACAAACCACCCTCGTTTTCCCAGCTGATTTTGTTTTCACTTACAATAGACATGCTTGTTATTTACTGAATTATGACCAGTAAACATGTCTTAAATAGCAACTTAAGAGTCATGAACCACTTAAAGAATAAAAGGAAATTTCTTAATGACGATGTTCTTATAAAAATTGTACTCATATTTGTGAATATTTTGAGGCAGTGTTCTACGAACAAAAATGGTGGTTTCACTGTATATAGCAGCACACAGTATTTCATAGTAACTACTGAACACGGTAATTCCATTGCAGAAGGTGGTAAATATCTCAGGTCACCACGGACTATATTATAAATTTGTAACCTGGAAAATAAAGCCAAACTACACTAAATCATGTGAGCAATCATATTCCTTTTGAAAAATGATATGGTTTAGGAATGACATTTTCATGTATTAACAGTTCTGACAAATAAGACATTAACAGCTTAACTCAGACAAAATGTGTCTAGATGCACGTTGAGTATATCTAACAAGTTTATTTTTGTTAGATCATGTTGCTTTTCCAAGATTTTCATATATGATTTTACTAGACTGCAGATTCAACAAGTATATCACAAAGTTCAAGGTCTTACTTATTTAGACTCATGCAGTACAAATGTATATGATGGGCTTGAAGGAATTTCTAATTTTAGATGGAAATATTATACAGGTAACAGAATAGGATCAGACGTGTTGTCTTTGCAAAACTAATCACATCTTTGTCCATTGGAATTCACATGGGAATTCTTATAAATTAATGGTAATACTGGTAACTCCTATGTTGTTCTTTAGATCAATGTTATGACTTGCAGGTTTTTTGGGGGGGAGGGGATTGTTATTAGCTTAATGTGAATCTACCCCGTCATATTTTAAATCTGCCTTTAGATAAAGCTTTATTCAAATCTTACCTCAGTGGCTGATCCATGTAGTCTTTTGTATGCATTCAGAGTGACCAAACCTCAGCCAAGTAACAGACAACCCAAAGAACAAATGTCCATGAACTCTGTGCTTGCTTCAGAATTATGCATGATTCTGTTTTTTCTCTAGACTTTTTTATTGTTTACCCTTCAACCCTCCGTTTTAAAAATATCTTTTCCTGTATATCAGGATTACACAGAAATTAATATCCTTGAATTGATACTGGGCTTTGATTCATCACTGCAATTGTTTTTATCCCCCTCTTCCCTTACCCTTAGATTGACATAAAAGGTTTCTTGGAGAAACTATACTTTTTCTATCTTTTCTGTACTATAGAGACCTATATATTTGAAGATAGGATTAAAACCTTCCACAATATACGTGGTTCATTGCAAAAAGGATTATAAAAGTGAAAGAGAATGACTGGCTTCACACTTGAGTTTGCACAAAAGATTAAGGGGCAGATTGCGATCTGACTAACAGGCCAAGATGAGGTAGTATGATGTTATCAAGCATGCTGTTACCCTCTGCACTGGCCAGACATGGAGCAGTGCAAGAGGGAAGACAGCCTGCTGTGCAGGTGGAGGAGGGCTCCATTTTCCCACCAGAACATCTGGAAGCCGTGCTCTGGGGAGAGTGACTGTCTGCCAGGCATAGAACTGGTGCAGATTACTTCTCCCTCAAAAAGAGGGGACATGGCACTCGCAAGTCACAGTCTGGTTCCCTATCTGTTCCTATGGCAGCAAATCTACATGCTGGCCATTGCACAATTCGGCCTTAAAGTAGGGTTTAGCTTCTTGGCCGACACAGCAGCATCTGAGGTTTTGCTGGTATGCAAGAGCTGTGGGTTCAGCTACTTGACAAGTACAGCACAGTCAAGTTAACCAACAGAATTGCTGGGCCCCAGAGCAAGGTGATCGCAGAAGTGGTGGGGCCTCAAGAGGAAGGGGTGGGATTGGATGGCTAGTCTTCCTCCTACCAGCCCTTCAGCGCTGTCCAGTAAAGCACACTGTCCTCTCTCCGTATGGTGAATTTTCAGTATCAGCTGAAGGATTCTAGTCTCATAGTGAAAAGCATGCCTAACTCCTTTTAATGTTAATGTGAGGCACTGACAGACACTAATGGGAGACTAGACCCGACCCCAAAACAGTAATGGGATCAGCAGATTAGAACATTGATAGAGCATGATACAGATTAGAGCAATACAACCAAATGTGATTTCAATTTTGATGGCAGCAAAGGCCAATTATCAAGAGACCATTTGAGTCAATATTTTTTCTCTCTGCTTTGGTTCTATTAGTTCCAGCTTCTTCAGTCTTTCTTTTATTGTAGCATCAACTTAACCTGTAATAAAAATGGTCCACACATATTTGGATTGTTTTTAACTGTAGCATTCAGAAAAATACAGTGCTAAAGTAAGCTGCCCCACGGATATAGTAGGACTTGTTATCTCTTAAATCTATTACCAGGTTTTGTAATTTACTGTAGGTAGATGTCAGATTTGTTTGTTTGTTTGTGTTGTTGTTGTTTTTTCAAGGAAGATCCAGGGAAGCATTTGCTTGTCACTGAGGGAATGCCTGACAAAATGTCAGCAAAGCAGGTGAGAATTAAAAATACGTTTGACAGCTTTAAACAGTCTTTTGTTGTATGGGTCAAATTCTGCTGTCAGTAGTAAGTCTGTTTCCTTCTTCTAGAGCTGTGAAAGCCCAGATGTAGGAAAATGAATGCTTTGTTGATGAGCTGTGGGGGCTACCCCCATTTAAAAGGCATACACTGCTCTGTGGGTCTTAACACCCTCTAGTTAAACCATGTAGGAGGAGCAGAGGCCATGGACTTGAGGCGGCTTGTACCACTGGCCATTGTCTCCTCTTGAATGGTCTGGGTTACTGCAATTTTAAAGCTTTCCTGCTGCCACTCTGTATCCTGGGATCTGGAATTCTTCCCAGCCATGGGCTCTGTAGAACTTCTTGAGGCTCAGCTACCTGATTTAGATCTAGATTGCAGCCTTGTAAATATGCAGTAACTCCATTGCCTTTAGTGAAGTTACTTCTTATTTAAAATGGTCTGACTGAGTGCATAATGTGTCCATAGAGAAATATTGTATCCAAGTCCCTCCATAGACACTGTTAGCTTCTCTTAGTGCAACGCAGACTGAGACTGCCTAGGGAGTGCCAGCCATCAAATAAAGCTGCCCACTCATGGCAGAAACCTATTGGAGTAGGGCGACAGCTGTACTATCACCTGCCCTCAACAAGGATGAGTAGCTTCTGGCTGTAGTGAGGATATAATTTGTACCTCCTCTTTCCTCTTGTGTCCATGGAGATTGACCTGGCCTGCTGTGTATAGTTAATTATAGCAGTGTGCTTTCCAAAATCTTTCCTCCATCATTTATTCCTAGAGTGGATTGATTCATCATTTTTGATTGATTTCCAAAATATAAATGAGTTAGAAACATTAGTGGGGCACTGAGACACAGTACATTCAGCAGCAGAACTTTGAACTAGTTTTGATAGTTTTGATATGCTTCATTATGACATTTTAAGAACATTTCTAAGTAGCTTGAATGTTTTCAGAAATATCAGAAAATAAAAAGCAACAATTTTTTTATGATACAGCTAGTTTGTTGTCTTTCCAGTAAACTACCAAGTTCACTAACTGTTTAATTTATTGCCACTATTTTTAATGCAATTTTCCTGACAAAGGGTAATTAGGAAAATCTTTTTATTTACATTTCCCCTTTCTTTGCTTGTTTTAAGGAGAGGCTTTATACAGGATATATACAGGAGTATAGGATATATACTTTCTTACAGAGCTTTCTTATCTATTTTTATTGTGACAGACCTCCATGCTTTATTAAATGAATTTATGGACACAAATACGCATAATTCATAGATGCTTTGAACAAATTACCTCATGTAATCTATCAATGTCATAATCTGCTGGATCTGTGTATTTTATTTTGGTGCATGTATCATTCTTGTATGTAAAGTTAGAGATATGGAGTATGGAATGGTGTATGGTTTTAAATGTGCAAATATAAGCCATCAAGAGTGTTTCCCTCAAGGTCTGGTCACCTGTAAACAGCCCTTTTGTCCTTTAAGTCTTAGCAGTGGTTGGTTGGTCGTAAGAAGTCATGTGACCTCCCTAACTGGTAGGGGCTGGCCAGGTAATTTTCCATGTAAGGGTGGAATGTAGAAACAGAATTCCTGCCCAAAGTGGAACCTATAAAGCAATGGAAACCTATCAGTTTCTTTGTCTTGGCTGGCATGGCATACCCAAGAAGATAACTAAAGACCCCAGGGAAAAGGAGACATCCCTGGTTTCAAGGCTTAGCTGGAATAAGAACAATTTTAGGGTGAGTTTGTAATAAGCTTGAGTGTATGTAAGAATTAGCTAAGTGGTTTTGGTTGGGGTTTTTTGATTGTTATTTTAATTTTGTAA